ACAGCCTGGGAGCTGCTGGTCTCATAGGAAAAGCCACACTCAGTGTCACTGGTGCTTCCAGGAGGACGTGGAGGCAACCTCCACCCCGGCTCAGGGGCTGCAGGTGGTCAAGTCAGCACAGACTGACAGACGGGGCCCAGGACCCTGAACTTCAGGACAGACACAGAGGGAGAGGGGTGGGTCAGTGGACAGAGACATGTCCAGAGTCCCTGGTTCTTTCATCCCCAGCCTGATATCTGGACAAGTGAGAAGGGCAGAAAAAGAGATGGGCTACCCATGCTGGAGACCCCACACAGCTCTGCATCCTGAGGAGCAGCGCTGGTCCCCCAGTTCCTTTTGGCCCCTCTGGAAGCCCAGTAACAGGAAGGACCCTTCATGCAAACTAGCCTCCCCCTGGGCTGTCCCACCCCACCCCGGGCTCTGCCTGTGATCTCTGCCTGGAAAGCTGACTCTGGCAGAGATGGGCCTGGGTGGACCTGTTCTTTGGTGCTCCAGAGGCCTGTGAGGACACAGTTGCTGGCCCAGTGACCACAGGACAGAGGGCTCAGACCAGGCCTGGTGGGGCTACCAGATGGGACCAAAGCTCAGGCCTCAGAGAAGGGCACAGCGCCCCCTGCTGCCCAGATCCAGACCTGCCCATGTGTCCTGTCTGCCCCTCTGTGCACTGTGTCCTCCCACCAAGGATGCAGCTGGGCAGGGTCCATGCCCCACACACATAGTCCCAGGTGTCCACACAGCCTCCTCCCCCTGAGCTCCCCTGCCCGGTTAATGTGTGATTCACAGGACAGTCCTGGGAACTCTTCCTCCCTGAGGAGCCTCCCCTGGGGGGCAGCAGAGCAGGAAGCCCAATGGGACAGGGCGGCCCGTCCCTCCAGGGCACCAGAGCTGCTCCTCTTCCTCCTCCCTGGGCAGAGCAGAGCCTGCTCCCCATGTGATCAGGACCTGCCCTCGGGCCCAGCCTCTCTCTCTGGTGCTCTCCTCTCTCCTCAGCCCCTCACTGGCACAGATTGCAGAAAGAGAAGATTATGAATAAAAAATGTTTGCCCACCCCAGACACATCTCCCAGGGTGATGCAGACACTGAGTGTGACTGTGAGGGAGAGGAGGGAGGTGAGAGCTTGGGGTCGGCTCATTCCTGACCCTTCTCTCCCCTCCCTGGACACTGAGAGGACATTAGCCCATCTCAAGGTTAGACTCAGCACCCTTTAATCACACCCTGGGCACATGGAGTAAACACTCCTGCCATGTCAGACACTGAGTGTGGGGACAGTGCCTGGGACAGAGGCCCTGGGCTATGAGGGGCCTCTCAGGCATCCCTGAGTCCTCACATGGCCTGAGCCTCAGTGAGCAGAGAGAGGGAGGAGAGGAAGAGAGGAGTCCATGTGTGGGGAGCACCTCTGCTCTGCTCTCTAAGGCCCCTAATGGAGCCCAGATGCTTGTGTCTCCTCAGTTACTCCTCCCCCTGAGCTCAGGCAACTGGTCTTCAAATCTGCCTGGGCTGTACCGCCCCATTTAGGGCAGAGTGTGACCTGCCCTAGGAGCTTGTGCTGGGACAGAGACCACAGGGAGGGAGTGACCTGCACACCCCAGAGGCTCTGGGAGAAACAACAGTTGGGACAGATGGCCCTGCATAGAGGACACTGACCATGGCTATTGTGTGATCTTTCCCAGGACCCCTAGGAACAGGCCCAGGTTCTCTTTAGCTCATGAGCTCAGGATCTGCCAGGTCTACTCTTTGTCACAGCTCAAGTCCCCATTTGTCCTCTCACTAAGGGTCATAAAAGACAGTCTTTTCTTCATGCTGCACCCCCCTTACCACATGTGCCCCACACCTGTCCTCTGACTCCCCCCCGCCCCGCTCACTTCATTTTGCTTTTCTGCATAACCCTGGGGCCTCAGCCCCCCAAGACTGTCTCTGCAGGACCCACCCCGTAGAGAGCTCAGACCCCAATGTCACAGCTGGACCTCGACTGCCCAGGCCTGAACCTCCCTCTTGTTTCCCTTCTGTACCAGCCTTAGGCCAAGCCAGAGCCAGGCCTTGCAGGTGCTGAGCCTACACATCCCTCAGGGTCAGACGTCACTGTCACAGTCAGTTCCTGAGGGGCAGACGTGGGGATGGAGATTCTGTCGGCAAAGACTGCTGGAAGTGTTTTCTGATCATCCCAGACAGACACTGTCTATCTACTAGACAGTTCCCAGCCTTTGGTCTCCCATCCACAGCGGAAGATTAAAGACCTGGGTGGTGGAGAAAATTCTAGTGTCCAGGAGCCCATCATGGTGCGGGAAGGAGCAGGGAGCAGAGAGCAGCTCCCCTGGTGGCTCTTGGCAGATGCTAAACCAGGTGACAGCTCTGTATGCTGTGATTTTTGTCCCTTAGTCCCCAAGAACTAAGGTGCATTCCAGCATCGTCTCAACGTAGGAAACAGAGAGGGGAGAGAATCAGGTTCCTGGGAGTGAACTTCGGGAAGGTAATTGTGAGGAGACCCAGAGCCATCTCCTTACACCATCTCCTCATGTGCACCTGGATCCTAGGAGTCCCCTGGGGACACACTCTGAGGATAAAGAGGACCCAGATTCCCTAAGGCTTCAGAGGTCAGGGAATGATTCACAAAGCCCAGGCCAGGTGCAGGCAACATCTAGGGGCCTGGGTGGATGGTTTCTGGGTCTGTCATGTTACCTAAGCTGCATTTCTGTTCCATGCCGTACCCCACCCACATGTGGGGGACTCTTATAGCTTTGGGAGGCAAAAGTTCTACTTGTACTGAGAAGCCAGTGAGGGAAGGGGGGATTCTCATTGACCCCATGAGGATGAGCCAAGGTAAGAGCCTCAGGCATTCTGGGAGAAGTGACAGCAGAAGAAGCCATAACCTGAGCAGAGGTTGGTACAAGGTCAGGACAGGGGAGGGATGAATTTGAGGGGGAACATGTGGGATACACCCCTGTGTCCCTCCCCCATGGAAGAGAGTTGATGGTGGTGTTGGGTTGTAATCAGTTCTAACAGTGATGGTGAACCTGACCGTGTCTATTCTTAGAGGTGAGGGATGTCAAGGAGGCCCTGGTGACAATGGAGAGCAAGACTAAACCTTTGAATACCCAAGACTGCTGGGTAGTTGCAAACTCAGGCTTTGTTTCTGGGAATCCTTGGTCACCAATCTTCATGGTTTCCCCAAAGTCTGTGACACTGTCTGTACAGTAGAAACTGATCTTGGGCCCTGGGCACATCGTGAGCTGAATAGGGAGGGTGACATAGACTCAGGCTGGGTGGTTTCTGGTCCCTGATATCCCACAGACGCTGCATTACAGCCTGGACTGTTGAAAAGTACCAGTAACACAGAGAGGAGAGGACACAAGTCATGCCTCAGGGCCCAGAGAAATTGACCCTTGGCGTCCCCATGTTCCTAGCTGGGATCACCTGTAGGAAAGTCATATTCATGGAATCTATGTCCCCCAACTCCCCTGGAGCAGGCTGAGCATGTCTCAGAGAGGTGGACCCTCCCCTTCTCACCTGCCACAAGGAGGTTGCTGTCTCAGCCCCATAGCTGCCCCCACACCCACCGTCTACCATGATCTTACGGCTAAAGCTGCAGGAACCCATGAGTGAGCCAGGGCAGCTCTGTGGCCGGAATTCCTCCCTGACCCAAATCCTCAGATAGCAAATCACATCCCCCTACCTGGTCCCTGGGACATAGGGAGCCTAAGGCAGCCTTGAACACAGATGACTGGGAGGAAACCGTAGGTCTCTGCTGTGACAACTGGAAGGGCACTGTCCATGCTGTAGGACTGTCCACCTGGTGGGACGGTCCTGGGCACTGACCCAGATGTGAGCCAGGAGAGGATCATTTCCCGCAGGTGAGCTTGACCGAGGCTCCCAGGGAGGCAGATGCAGAGGGCTGCTGAGTCAGCACAGCCTGGGAGAGGGACCCTGGAAACACAGATACCCTTTATGACCTGGAGGAAGAACAGGAGGGAACAATAGTCCTGGCATGGGTTCAAATTTGGGTCTTCAGGGTGCTGAGGAGGGGTCCTGACCTGTGCAGTGAAGGAGCAGGATGAAGAGGAGGAGTGGGGTCCAGGCCTTGGTGCAGACACCTCAGAGCTCTGCTGAAGCAGATACGCTGCATGTCTCTCTTATCTTCCCTCCAGCCCCAAAGGAGAGAGAGGGGCCCTGCATGCAAATGTGCTGCTCTTCCCCTGCCCAGCCCAACCCTGCCTGGGCCTGAGTGCAGCCCCAGTGGCTGGGTGTCATTTCTGGGAGGGGTGGGTCTATCTGGAGGCTCCCAGGTGGCCAGAGAGGACACAGCAGCTGGCTCCAGGGAACTCTGAGCAGAGCCCAGGGCCAGGTGTCTGGGTTCTCAGTTGAGCCCTTCAGAGCCCTCAGCGACAGCCCCACAGCACCCTCTGCTGCCCAGGCCCAACTCCAGCGTGTTTGTGACCAGATGCCAGGGGGTCATGACAGACGCTCCTGCTCCCACCAGGGCATTGACCACTGCCCACTCCCTGCCCAAGGCGAGAGGCAGGCCCCTCCTCAGGGCAACTCCCGACTCATCTCAGCCTTTAGTCTTTTATTTGAGCCCTTCCAGTGGGAACAGGGCACACAACTCACTCTACAGTAAGGGGACAGGGTGTCTCCTGTACAAACTGTACATGAAATAAGATGCACAGTAGCTGAGAACAGGACAGGTCAGCCATGATCCCACTTCTCAGATTGCTCTTGATGCTGGTTTCTGTCTCCCCACTGGATCCCTCAGGAGGTCACACCCAGGGAGCAGAGTAGGGAGAGTCTAGGGGATAAAGGAGCAGGCAGGATCACTGGGGAGTTAGGAGAGACCCAGGGAGGAGGAGGACAAGGTCCCTGCAGCAATCAGAAAAGGGAATCAGCTCACTGAGGGCTTCATCTGAAGTGTGGAGTCCGAGAAGTTCAAGAAAAGTAGAGGATGTTATTGAAAATTTCTAAAACAGGTATTTTATAATTCCATGCCTTTTCTCACACAACTGTTTCAGTATTTATTTGAGACACTTATAGGAGAGAAGGGAAGTGGAAAGCAAGACCATAGGACTGACAAGGGCAGCCGTGAGTCAGTGACAGGAGGGGAGAGGGTGAGGAGGGTCCACACTGTAGAAGGGACTGGAGGAGAAGCCGGGGGGAGATTGGGCAGGAGCCAGAGGGGAAAAAGGGCCAAGGGAGGTTTGGTTTCATTTATGGTTTATGTTTGTTTGGTTTTTCTTTTTACTAAAGAAAGTGGAGCCTCTTCCACCTTCTCAGCTGCCTTCTCTGTTCCTCTTCCTGAGTGGACCCGGGGATCCTTCTTTAATCAAAATTCCACAGTTCTCGCTGTGTGACGTTTCTCTTTGCTAATGACTTTCCTCCTTATTTTCTACTACTTTTATATATTTGGTGGCATTAAACCACATATTTAGATGTTTTGAAGAAGACACCTTTTAGACATGGAGAGTCTCAGGCCCCACTCCAGAACCCCTGAGTCAGAGTCCACGTATGACAGGATCCCAGGTGACCCCTGCTCACGGGAACGTCTGAGAGTCTCTGGTCTGACACTGGCAGGAAGGCACCGGTGGGCTTGGGGAAGGATTGTTCCTCAGGCCTCAGTCTGTTCTGCCTCCTGCCAGTGAGCCCCGCCAACTGCCCTCCTGTACCACACTCTGTGCAGGATGTTCCAGGCACAGTGCACTTGGGGCCTTCCACTGAACAAGGTGGGCGTCTCCCCTGAGCTCACAGATTCACAGAGATGACCGGAGGGATATTAGTCATATAAAGATGATCTTCTCATTTTTATACCAGTGACCAAGTGACTGTGGTAATGTTTTAGATGCCAATGGGCACAGCAATCCTGGGCTTGTCCCCATTATGGTGGGGGTGACTTCATCTTCATGCGGGGGTCCCAGCACCTGACTGCTGCTGTCTCACATTGACCCCAGGGAGCTGAAAGATGTTCTGTTGGATGCAGCTGGCACGGGACACCTGGTGGTGGGCCTAGCAGTGAAGCCGCAGGTGAGTGTGACTGTCCCTCCAGGAATTCTGCACAGAGATGGTTCCTTTGTCATTAAATCCTGGGAAGTGGTTCTTGAACCCAGAGAGGAGACAGAGATGTCATCAGGACAGAGATGGGGGTGCAGTGTCAGTGTTCCCCTTCCCCTCTCCTAATCCAGACGGATGCCCCTGACCTCTGACAAGAGCCTTAGTGAGAACAGAGGGGAGAGCAGGCTTGTAGACCAGAGGGAAGACTCCTGCCAAGTGTTCTGTTTAACCTCTCACCAGCGAGCTGAGCTTCCTCAGTTGACACTTACTAGAACGCAGGGTGAGGATCTTCTCACAAACAATCCGTCTCTTGTGGGCCTTCCAGAACACTTTCAGGTGGTCACTGTGTCAAGTTCTCACACCTAGTGGTCTTGGGGCTTCTGTCACCAGCTTACAGGAGAATGTCACAGCTGTATGCAGTGTCTTCAGCCCCCCCCCCCCCGTGGCCATAGTGGAATAAATGCAACTCAGCATCCCTTGGGTCTGTTTTCTGGAGTTAGAGTACAGAGTACGTTTTATGCAGTGTGGTGATCGTGTCGTAACAAGGGGCTGTAAAATGGAGAATCTTCTACGGTTTTCTTCAGGGATTTTTTTTTAAATGTGTATTTGCTTTGATTTTATAACCTGTATTTATTTTCTGGTATTTCCTTCTTTTTAATTTGTTTAAAATTAAAAATACTCATCAAAGGGTAACTATTATTGCTTTAAAAATCTGTCACAAAATCTCAGCATCTGAGTTACATCAGTGTTTGTGTGTGCTGATTTTCATCTCTCATTTAGGGTGTTATGTTTCTGGTTCTTGACATGACAAGTGGCATCTTTTGCACCCCCGACATTGTGGATATTACATTAGGAGACTCTGGCTCCTATTTAATTTTCTGTATCAGGGAACCCCCCCCCCCAATTGAGGTGAAGCCCAGGGGCCTGGGGTTGTAGGCTCAGCTCCCCACTGGCCCAGCTGAATGGGCCTGACTCTCAGTACCCCAGGGCTGCTGACACCTTCCTGGGGAAAGGGGAGCAGAAATTTCCACACATGTGACCCCTTCAAGAAGGGTGTGAGATTAGCTGCCCACTGGACTCTGTTGTGTCTCAGTGACAGCAGGAAGGGGAGGGGACAACTGAGTGACAGTGACCGTGACTCCCTCCTGCTGTGTGGTGTTCTCATCACCAGGTGGGAGTCAAATCTCTGCTTCTCACTGGAAGCCAAGGTCCCCCCAGTCAGGGTCAGGGTGGGTGTCGTGTAGGGCTGACTGTCCTGCCTGGTCCCACTTCATTCATCCCTTTGCTGGGGAAGGGGTGAAGTTCACATCCTCATAGGACCCTGCCAGAATCATACATGTGGGTGGTTGAGGAATAATGCACTCCCACTAGCCCTGCCCTGCTCAGCCTTGTTGGTGCTGATTGGAGTGAAGCTTTGTCTCATCACTGAACCCCACTGACACTACCCCAGATAGAGTACAGCCAGTCAGAGTA